CACTTTTACTCAGTACTTTTAATACTTAAGTAGATTTTGTGTCAGAAATTTACTTTTGATACTTAAGTACAAAATATATCAGATATTTTAAGACTTTTACTCAAGCTATATTTTAAAGAAGACTTTAACTTTTACCAAAGTATTTTTATGATAAGATACTTGTACTTTTACTCAAGTATCACTTTGCAGTAATTTATACCAGTGTTTCCCAAAGTTGGGGTCGGGACCCAAACTGGGGTCCCGAAACATCAAGGTGGGGTCCTGAAAAGATTTTCAGAATTAATTACATTTTTTCCTTAGTTGTTACAAAGGAGTGAGGTTAGCGTATTTAAAACGGATAAATGCATTAAAAAATATTGTTACTATGCCCATGTTTAATTGACCTGATACAAATGTTTATCATCCAAAAATAGCTGGCACAGGTCTCTGCTACTATTTTGTGGGTCAAAAGCTGAAAAGTTTGGGAACCACTGCACTTTGGTTCCCAAAGTTGGGCTTGGGACCCAATTATGGGTCATGAAGCACCTTGAATAATCACCAGAAATCAATGTAAAGGGTAATAAAATAATTGCTGATGGAATATTTTCCCTATAACTATTATAAAAACACAAAAAAGTATAAATAAGTATTTATGTTTGTGTATAAGCTGTTTAGATTGTCAAAAAGCCTGTGTTTTTAGGGTTATTAACAAAGTTCGTGTACTCAGACCAGTAATATTTGGGGTCACAAGTTTTTGCCATGGTTACTTTGTGGGTCAGAAGCTAAAAAGTTTGGGAACCACTGCTTTATACAACACTGGGTATTTATTTTTGTTAATAATTTTTAAAGAACCTACTAACACCTCTGTATAAAGTGTCTCTTAATTCACACTCTAGTTAACTAACATAATGAAAGAAAAGCATTGATAAGATCTGCACAAAATAATTGTACATTTTTTGTTAGATTAAAAAAACAATAAGAAGTAGTCAGGCTGAAGTTATAATGAAGTATAATGAGTATCACATTGTTTTTTAAAGGGTGGTGTTTAAGCTGATAGACATGGCTTTTGGCTGTGCTGTGACCTGCCGCATGCTCACAAGTACAACAGCAGACGTTAATGAGCATGAGCACATGCGGTTGTTAAAGTGCACATGTTAACATGAAACTCACACAGAAACGAGTGCAAACACATAGCCATGCACACATACACAAAAACACACACACACACACACACGTGCCTTTTGTTTCCCATGGCTAGTTTAGCTTTCTTTACATGTGGGGCACGTTTGCTAACATTTCTTAAGGCTTGGCTTCATTAATGCAGACGATTAGCATCCTGTGAATTAATTAGTGTCAGTGCCCTTCAAAATGCTAATGCTAGCATTCTGTTGTCTTAAAGTGCTGCTAGAGTTGGAGCAGTGATGGAAAGTTCCTACTGTATTTGAATTCAACTGTTCAGACATTTACTTGGTAAAAGGAATTAAATTAAATAACTTTAGCAGAATTTAGTGACTTATAACTGCCTATCACAATAAGGTAAACTTTACATTTTCACATGCAGATCCATCATCAACGTCAAGGTGTTTTCCAATCTGCATTTCCTTTGAGGAATTGTTTCAAAAAAGATTTTTAGATAGTGTTTTATGGAAAAAAAAAGGCAATCAAATAATTACAAAAGAAAATCACTGGAATTTATGAACAAAAATCTATAATATTCTAAAGTAGGGAGGAACTTGAGCAGCTTTCAGCCTAAATTCTCAGATGCATCCAACAGATGCAGTGACTCTTTAAAGGTTAACATTAGGATTAAGATTAACTCATAAAGAATAAAACTAATGTTTTAATTACAGAAATAAAATCATTTACTTTACAACGCTCTAGTTTCTTGCTACAGAGACGTTTTAGACTAAATAAAACTTATATTTTGCAATAACTCTTCACACATTAGTTTTTACAGATCATATATTTATTTGCCGTTTTGAAAAAATATTTGTAATGAAACAGGATGCCACGTCTCACCGCTACTTTATTGCTGCCAAAAATAGAAGGAAATTATGCTTTAAATGGCTCTTTCTGAAAGTCTGTTCCCAGCAAAGGTACATGTGTTTTGGAATGAATTGTGTTTAAATAACAACTTGCAATCATTAGGACTGTGAAAATTATTGTCCAACTGACAGAACCAGTAGATTCACTCATTTGGAATCAGAAGAATTTGTACTCAAACAGAACTACAAACAAGCCTGCACACACACACACACACACACACACACACACACACACACAC